AGTGCTCATCACACAAATAAATGCCCCCAGCGGGGCTCGAACCCGCGACCGCTGACGCACCAAGTAGGGTCACTACAAACTGAGCCAAACGTGTCGTCAAATATGTACAAATAAAAAAATATTAATTCTAAATACTTTGATAGGAACACCGCTACTGAGGAAAAATCTATCATACCAATCGTAATAGAATATGTTTGCTACTTGATAATTGTCAAGTAAAAATATAAGCTCAGATACGATATGACCAGTTTCTATACACTTTCCAGACAAAACATCGCAAGTACCTACAGGGGAAGTCAAGGGCGCCGGCTGGGCCATAAATAAAGAAACGCAACTTTTAACTCGTATGACAATGGCTGTATCATTGAAACAGACATCAGTGAAATTCCGATAAGTCTGGCATCCGTTATTAATGACCGGCGACGAGTTAAATTTAATGGCGGAAATCGACATCGTGTCATTACCGTTTTACTATATTATATACATACTAGCGACTTACACTTGCTTCGCTCGGATAAGCCCCTTAGTGCCATACAGTACATAGTCTGTGTTATTCCACATCATAGCCTATCTGTGTAATAAACATCCAATTTCATTCAGCCGTTTTAACGTGTAGGGGTAACAAACAAACAAATTTTCGCATTTATAATCATAGTTTAATTTTAACCGACCTTCAAAGATTTCATTCGCTAGTTTCTGAAAATAAAATGGGCGTATCGTTGTTAATATCTACAATTTAATACTTTCTTAGTATTACGCCGAAATATTTTGACCATTTAAATACATTATATCCGAATTTATCTACAATTAAATTAAAACAAAATTTAAACTTATTCTAATTTAAGGAACAAAAGAAAATAATGTTATTTCATTATGTTAAACGATAGAAGATCTAAACGTATACAAGTCGTGATGAATCATAAAGAGCAAAAAGGATTTTACAAATCGATAGCAGTAACATTTAAGAATGGGCTTAAGTGTAAATGTTGCATACAAATCGTGGCGCAATCCATCTGCAGAGCCGTATCGATTTTTTTCAAGAAACAACCTAACAGAATTTGAAACTATAAGAAATGGAAGGGACTTAACAAACTACATAAATATGAATTAAAAGTAAATTTTATGCAAATCTTTACCAAAGAACTTGGCTATTCCAATAGACTAATAAATTTCACTTATCTCAAAGCTTTTTAGATTATTTGATACTAGAAAAACGTAAACAAATTCATACCACGAGAACCGCACATTTTCCGGGATAAAAAGTAGCCTATGCGCTATTTCAGACTATAATCTATCTCTGTGCCTTTCATCCAGATCCATTCAGCCGTCCTGACGTGCTTGAGTAACAAACAACTAAACATGTAAACTTTCGTGTTTATAATACTAATAGTAAGATTATTCGCTCTCGTGTCTCTCCAATAAAAGTAGCCTATTTTACTCTTAAAATAGCTTCGTAGTTACATACTTTTATCGACGACACGTTTGGCTCAGTTTGTAGTGACCCTACTTACTGTGCCAGCGGTTGCGGGTTCGAGTCCCGCTGGGGGCATTCACTTGTGTGATGAGCACGAAAGTTTGTACTCCAGTCATGGGTGTTTGTATTTATAATATGTATGTATTTAAAGTTATATATATATATAGTGTATCAACTATCTGGTATCCATAACACAAGTACATGGAACAAGATGGTGCTGTGTGTTAATGTCCCAACACATTCATTTATTTATTTTATCTTAATAACAAGGAGAGCAAAGGCAAATATATTAAAAGATAAAAGTATTTAACAATATTATTCCGCTGTATAAACACTACTAACGTTTTCCTGCGGATTCGCCCGCATATAGTACATTAATGTATTAAACCATTTAAAACTAATTATAATATTACAAATGCGAAAGTAGCTCTTTCTGTCCGTTACGTTTTCACGGTCAAGCCGTTGAACCTACAATTATTTAGACGAATTTTGGTGTAGAGATTGATGGGACCTTGGAAAAGGTCATAGGCTTTTTGTCGCGAAAATAAAACTTGAAGTTGAAATTTTGTATGGTGCACCAACTACACTAACGATAACTATTTTTTTATTTATATAAAACGAACCTAGAAACGCACCCGAGCGAAGGTAGGTTTAGTTGCTAGTATCTTTTATACTGTATATATACTTTAACAATGGTGAAGTTTCATCAAAATACTTTCAGTAATTTTTGCATGAGAGTACAAGCTAACATCCATCGATACATCTTTAAACCTTTTGCATTTATAATATTAGTAGAATTTGCAAGGTTTATTCACATTTTAAAAAAACATCTATAAAAATTAAAAATCCATTCTAATATCATAAATGTGAAAGTGTGTTTGTCCTTCTTTCACGTCGAAATGGAGTGACGGATGGCGTGATTTTTTGTGTGGAGACAGAGGGCTGGAGAGTGACATAGGCTACTTTTTACCGTGGGAGATTATCTAATTCCCACGGGAATACACGTTATAATACGATCCAAAAAAATATTTATTATCAGAATCACTCGAAACTTGGTATTATTTCTCTTTAATAAAATTAAATGTGTTGTTGTTTTAGCATTTTTCGAAATTAATTCTATCAGGAAGTAAAATAGGGGATGAAAGTTTGTATGAAACTACCTTTTTAGATTTTTTTGTAGTTTTAGCGCGAGCGAAGCCGCGAATTCTGCTAGTGTATAATAATAAGATATTTCCACAAGCCTAAAATCAAGTAATTAGGTACATTTATTAAATAATAATATATAAACACCTAATGACACATATTTATCCGTAAATTTAAACCAAAAATTTATCCTCAAAGCTTTGTAAACTTAAGCCATTGTTCCGTAATGTTGCGTTTTACAAGTATAATATTTGTCAATGGTAAAGGATTTCCTTCAAGCCGGCCGGCCGGAAGGTGCTATCCCGAAGGGGATGGAGACCGTTATCGACGTGGAATACAGATAATGTAGAGCTATAAAAAAACGGTAGGTACATGACGAGTGTTAAATAAATAGTAAATAAGATGCAATCGATATATCGGATTGATTTTTTTTTATTTCTATAAATTCACATAGATATAATGGTTTTTATTTATTACTCACGATTTCGGACGTTATGAAATTAATTGTATTTTTTTTAATTAATAAACGAACAACTTCATATTATTCACTAATAGACTTAAAAAGAAAAAATATATAAAACCTTTAACGATTGGCATATTCAAGTTACTTGTCTGTGAATATTTTATCAACCAACATACCAATTACCGAAACCTATAACATCTGGTAAACATTTACGTCTAGTTGCAGTCTTTATTACCACCCTTGACCGTCAAAATAACAACCCTCCATCTCATTAAAATCATCCCTACGAGATGAACATCGGAGGGCGGCGGTCGTTAACCTCGCTGACGTCAGGTCAGTGACTCAGGTATCGTTCGCGAAATTATAGTCTGACATTGTAATGTAAATAAGTTTGTTTGGTTTTTTTTTTGTAGAAAAGTACTTAATAAATAGTTATATTTTGCTATGGATAAATTACCTGTGTATATTATAGATATTAGGTTATATTACAGCTGATTGAAAATATAATTAAGATTATATTAATTCTTCATATAAATATAAAAAATCATAGACAATTCCTAACTTTATTTGGAAAATTTTCTTGGAAAATATTTTTTTATTATTATTCAATTAAAAACAAATAAAACTTATAATTACAAGAATATTTTTTGATGTAAAACAATTAACAAATGTTATACTGAAAATACATATTTATATTCAAAGAAAGTATTCGATTTCTAATCTAAGCAAAAAGAATACCAATTAGGTGTGGATTTAGAGCAATTATTATTATTGCTATTTAGTTGGTTTTTTTTTAATTATTTCTTACAAACTGCAGAACTATGCATGAGAATAATATTATCAGCATTGAAAGTATAACATTACAGTATCAAGGTGATAAATACATCGTAATACATGTTATTTTAATACATTTATCTTATTCATAGTTTGGCTAAAAAATTCCTGTGGTTATTCCAGTATACCTACTACGGACATACTTCCATGTTGTTTTATTTCTTTTTTGAATTACTGTTTTACATTTAAATATTTTCATTTTTTATTTTAATTAAAATTAATAATTCATTATATGGTTTTTATAGGTATAATTTTGTATTGTGAATAAAGTGCCATTTAAGACCATCTGTTCGTCACGCCGGCTACTTATGAGTTACCTACAGTGAAAGTCTGACATGACACAAAAAAAACTATATGAATCATTTCAGTCTGTGACTCATGGTGTCAGACGCCTTCTAATTAATACAGTGAGGCATATAAGGAAATCTATAAACAACATAATATTTGAATCATATAAGAATATATTCTATGAACATAGCGGATAAGGTCCAAGTACTCGTAACCTTGACATTGTATATTTTGTACTTTTTACGTGTATTGTAAGGGAAGGAGACGCCCAGTGGTGCATTCGCCCTAAAATAGCCTCGAAATGGATGTGACAGGCGGACGGCTATACCATATATGGTCAAGTAGTAAAGCGACTGCGCGACGTAGCATTACCTTGTCGGTTCGATGCCCTCTACCGTTCTGTCTACTGATAACTATATATCACGTAAATCTATTCCTCCCGTGGTCTGATCTCGTCATAAAAGGCGATGGAGATAAGTAACCTTTCACATGCGTGAAATTCAACACCAATGCGAAGATATATCATTGAAAATATCCATACATTCACATTTTAATATCGTCTCTATTTTTTAACGGCATTAAGAACACAACACGTGGCATAAAATCACTGAACGGTGACAAGTTATTCGTTGAAAAGGCGTGCGAAGTCGGCGAAGGGTTGTGCAAAATATGGCCGATGGCGGCGCCGGTTGAGCTCCGAGAACGAGTAAATGCGCCATTTTAATATCTATTAACACTATCTGATATAGGAAATCACACCACGATTACAAAACACTAGAATTTATTTTCATCACTTACCATTTTTTGATGTTATGCACGTAAAAATTCCACCACTAACTTCACCGACTCCACGACAACGGCGACCGGAACGACACTGATTCGTACAGTTGGCTAAACCTTATTTTGTGGCAGCCAATGAGCGCATGTGTCAAAACTGTATAAATGAGTCAACACACTGTCTTTTATTCTTCAACAATAAATTATTCTCTCACAGCTAATATTTGGAATGAAATATTGCAATAAAATAATAATTGTAAATTTAATATACAAATAATACTTGAATTTATTAATTAGGAAAATAAAAAAATACTCTTGATAGAAGTTGACACAAGATGACAACTTTTTAAAATACCAGCTGCTCTATTGCAATTCACAGTAAAACTACAGAGTTTTTTACTGATTATTATATATAAATAGAGTTCGAGCGCGGTAAGATAAGATTAAATACAAAAGTTCTTTCAGCGTACAGATATAACTATTTTCAAGACTTCTTTACGTTTGATTACTACTTGAAAAGTGAGTCACTGATGACGATAAAATTGTAACCAATCAGCGTACAGAATTCAATAAATGTCCATATATGGAATGACGGAAACTGCCGCAAAATCGTGTAAACATTTAAATTTTAGCGGGCAATTATTATCTAGATTACAGGTAGATTTTTATTATTTTGTCAAATTATATTATAGAAAAATCTTTAAGGATATCAAAAAAATTTAATAATTACCCGATCGAGTAATTAGAATTAAGCATTGTATAGTATATGATAATTAATATATAATATACATATATTTTAAAAATAACGATAAAAATAAATTTTCCAAAAATTAAAAATAACCTTTTGTCAAAGAATAACATTATACGTTATTCATAAACAGATTTGTAATCAAAGATAATTGAATGTCAGCGTAGTTTTGCAGGTTATATGGTAATATAACCTATATAAGTAAATGGTAATTTACCATATATGGTAACTTCAGCAGAGCATGATAAAGTTATTATAAGTTATAAGTGCAATACATACTTGTATTACGTATATGTAGCGTAAACTAATTGTTCGATATTTCCTAACATTATCGTAAAGAACGGAAGATTTATGCGTGATTGATAATAGTACTTATATATTTTAAGTAGATATATTAATTCATACAAACTTTCATCCTCTATTTTATCCCATTATGGGTTGAATTTCGAAAAATGGTAAAACACGTATATATTTAATTGTATTGAGCATTAATACCAAATTTCAAGTAATTTTGATCATAAATAATTTTTGGGTTGTATTATAACGTGTTTTCCCGTGGGAATGAGATAATGTCCCGCGGAAATAAGTAGCCTACGTTAATCTCCAGCCCTCCAACTATCTCCACACAAAAAATCATGTCAATCCGTCACTCCGTTTCGACGTGAAAGAAAGACAAACACACTTTCACATTTATACAAAAACAAATCTATTCGTCGGGTACCGTATATTTTTCCGGGATAAAAAGTGTCTATGTGTTATTCTAGACTATAATCTATCTCTGTGCCAAATTTAATCCAGATCCGTTCTGGCGTGAAAGAGTAACAAACATACATCCGTACACACATTCTTACAAACTTTCGCGTTTATAATATTAGTAGGATTATTAAGGTAACTTACTTTTATGGCATTAAAACAAAAATTTAGGTTTTTAGGTAGTTGTATTCTATGCCTTTTCAAGTTATTAAAACCTTTATTTAGTACGGTATTTTTTTTCTATTTACCCATAATAATATTTTTTCATTTGCAAGAAAGCCGAGGGCATAGATTGAGTAAAATAGCAGAGCGACATTGAATTTAATTTTTAAGTTCCGTAAACAAAGACTCGGTGCCATTATACTAAAGTCCAAAATTAGTAATTAAACAAAGTTACTAAAAAATAAAAAACGTAATTAAAAAGAGTACACAAAAATAACAAATAATAGAATAAAACAACATTTTTACTTATAAATAATTATTATATAAGCCACATATTTTGTACAGTAAAAATACCATAACAAAAAAAGAATATTGCAAAATTATTTTTTCACGGATTTATTAGATACCCGACGTTTCGAATGCTATACAGCAATCATGCTCACGGGAGAGAACCAAAAATCAAAATAAATCCGCCAAAAAAAATTGAAAAAATAATAGTTTTATTTAAAAAATATTCGCGTAAATCTAAGAAAGTATAAAATTGCAAAAACCTAAGCATTGCCGACATATTTATGATATCTTTTGTACATTGTATACATGTTAGTGAGTGTCATCTGACCAATAGAGCCAGCTAGAGCTCTCCTCAGGAAAGCCATAGAGTAGGTAGAATCAGAAACTTGTATGAGTAGGGATATGGAATTTTCTAGATGTTGCCGGACCATCTTCGGTGGAGGACTCTTTTCCAGCCAAATACACATATCTGCTACTGCATATGCAGATATTCTAGATACATGCGCTTTACGTTTGCATATTGATTGGGTTAATCTGTAAAAGATACACAAATGTTATTAAAATAAAGTTTTGTTTTAAATGGATGGTGTGGAAAAGACTTTAATTTGATTTTAAGTCATTTTTAGTTAATTTGTTATGAAATATGTTGATATCGCTTGAATTCTCTACCCGCCAGTAAGAACTCTATTGCAATGAGTTAGGTACTTCCTAAAAGCAAAACGTATACTTATTTTGGGCTTAGCCATTTCGAAGTTATAGCCTAATTCTATTATTATTAATAAATTTTATACTAATGATAAATATTAAAAATATAGCGCTTTATAAGAATTACTACCTGTATGATTAAACAAAAAAAAACAATTTCATAATCACAAATTAATTTTTATAATACAAAAATCTCGTTTTAATCATTTATTTAGATATAAAGTTATTCTGTAAACATATTAACAAATAATTTTAAGACAACAAAAAGTTTTCCTTTTCTTACTTTTCAATAGAATGTGCCATTTCAGCGAATTTATGTTCTACAGATCTGTCTGTAATATCTTCTGAAGTTGCTCTCTCACACAAACACAATAATAATGCTTTATAACACTGCATATAACATGGCCACCTGGAAAATAAAGTTTATCATATTAAGTTATGCATGTATTCAGCCCTTTTTAACGTCCCACTGCTGGGCGTGGCCCTCCGTTCACTACGAGGGGGATCAGGCCATAGCCCACCACGCTGGCCAAGTGCGGGCGGACTGAGCACGTCTTTTGAGAACTTGCTAGGTTAAATTAATAATCATTTATGTTATTGTAATATTTTAATTCATGTATATTTTTCAGTCACCATTTTTTTAGATCAGAAAATATAGTTTGTAGTAATAATAATAACAATAAATGCAAAAATAAGTATAACAAAGTAGTACTCAGGCGAACATTAAGTTACATACTTAATTATTTAATTATAAAAATTATTTTAGTATTTTATCGGTAAAATAAGATTATTAAAAAAATATTACGCGGTTAAAGTGAATCTTTATTGGCGCTGTGGCAGATAAAGCAATTAAATTAAAACAAATCAAAATATAATTATAACATTTTAGTAATGAATATTAATTTTTTAAATAAAAATTGTTATAATAATAACAATATATAATTATTTTTTTTTATCATTAAATATAAATTTGACTATCACTTCCGCTACACTCATTTTTCCAATGCATTGACTTACCCCTCAGTCACGCCTAAAGAAGTTTTACTTCAGAAAAATCTTACCTATCTTCTAACAATTCCTCTCTTGAAAGCAATAGATTGTTCAAAATGGTGATACAGCCTTCATATATGTTTACAAAGCTTTGCCATGAGATAACACATTTAGTCTCAATTGTCTCAAAACCTAGAATGTAGTGCAGTAGATGTTGGAGTTCGAATACTGCGTCTAGGAATTTGTAGTCGAGGGATATCTGGAAAATTAGAAAATCAAATAAATAATTATATTATAAACTAATGAGTTACCATTGCTTCGTTTGGATGTGTCTTTATATTTTTTTTTGAGTGGAACCCTAATTCTTTTTCTAAAATAAAAGAAGCATAGGTTACTCTTTATAACATCGGCTACTCTTTATAACAAAATATGAAACTATTATATAATATATATTCTTCTTCTTCTCCCTGCCCATTTCCCAATCACTTGGTGTCGGCGCAGTACATCTTCTGTACTGCTGAAAGGATTTGGCAAAAGTTTTACGACCGGCCGACGTCAACCCTCCTTGGGAATATATATATATATATATACATATGATTTTAAGCCACTAGTTGGCTGGTTGTTATGCCACTGAGTCTCTGTAGTAGCACAGTACCAACCAATCTTCTTCGTGTCTTCTCCATTCTATGTGACATTGGGTGAAGTAATCTGTGCTCAACTGGCACATTTTGAAGCCATTAACATGGACATTGAATTGAAACATAGCACAGTTAAATTCATTGCGAACATGTAGTGCCATCTCGTGGCAAGTTCATCAATCAGTCAGTTAGTTGGTCATATAAAAGTAAGTATGACAGTCGGGTGTGCCTACCCCATATATCCCTCTTGCATTCCCCCATTATTGTTTTATCTAAATGCCTCAGACTGTATGGTTTTTGAGACTGTGAACATAGTATGTACACTTCGAATTATGTAGGAAAAGCGGTATCTTAATAATAAAAAAAAATGTTGTTGTTTTTTGACTTAAAAAAAAACTTGTTTTTTTTTAGAATTAAAAAGTTTTTTTTTTAAATAAATATTAAAAAATACCTTCTTAGCAGCCAAAATAACTTCAGACAATATATCCACATCATTTTTCAATAACTTGCAAATACAATCTTCAACTCGAATAACATTTAATATTTTAACATTCACTTCCTCATCGCCAACTTGGTCACTATTTTGTTTAGCACTTTCTTGTATTAAGTCGTAGTGTTGCTGTATCCAAAATCTAATATTTTTTGTGGCTCTGAACATTAATTTTGTCATGGCAATACATTTTGGTCCAATAATGTTAGCTTTAAGACAGTGTTGCCACAAGTATTTGGATACTTTCTTTGACGTTAGTTGGGAATTTGTTATTTCTATGTTCTTTAGAATTATTGAGGGTTTCTGTAATAAAAAATAATGCGAAACGCAAAAATCAAAATAAATCCGTGAAATAAATCAAAAAGATAGTTTTATTTAAAATGTCAAATATTCGATTAAATCTGAGAAAGTATTAACTTCGATTGTAACTAAAACTATTAAATTACTAGCAATATTACAATTTAATATACTTAACGTTAAATCCATATTAAAAATTATGTTTTTTTTTTATTAAAAAGCAATTTTATTGGCTTCATTATGTTAAAAATAATTTAAATATTACCTTCAAAAGAGCCAAGTTCGCCAGATCCCCAACAAAATTGTTGCTGAAGCACTCAACAGACGACAATTCAGCTATAAACTTCAGTGTGACCGCTATCTCTTCTAAATGGTTATTATATTTTCTCTTTCCACCAAACACCATAAACAATCTAGATTTTATGCTGTTCCATATTTGAGTGAATAGTTTGTCTTTGTCTTGGAATATATTGTGCGATTCAAGTTTTTTGATATAACGCAAAACTACATTGAGGAGTTGAATTGATGAATCAATATGTTGGTATTTAGACGACGGATTTTGGATTGACTGGATCTGTAATATTGATATGTGTAAATTTAAATAAATAAATATGTTGGGACATTAACACACAACACCATCTAGTTCCATGGTAAGCTACGAGGCGAGACTTGTGTTATGGATACCAGATAGTTGATACACTACACATATATAACTTTAATTAAATACATACATATTATAAATATACACACCCATGATTGGAGTACAAACATTCGTGCTCATCACACAAATGAATGCCCCCCAGTGGTGTGTTCCAAGGTATGTTTCATTTTGTTTTTGAGTAGAATCCTAATTGTTTTTCTAAAATAAAAGTAGCTTACGTAGTTACTTCTTATAAATAGTGAAAGTCCTCTGAAAAACAGTTCTCCCGTTTCGAAGATTAGCCGGAACAAACAGATAAAATTTTAAAAAAATTTATGTTTCTTATAAGTAGGTACCATATAAAATTTAATATTCAATTAGTGAAAAGCTATTATTTTGACATTACAAACAGACACTTCAATTATATTTATTTGTATAGATATACAAGCAGGGACGCTTTTAGACAAATTTTGTTTATAACAGACGCCTGTGTTACTCCAGCTCTGTCCTAAATTTTCTTTTCAATTCCTTCAGCTGTTTCAACGTTCAGAAGTGACAAATATATAAACTTTCTCATTTATGATGTCCTCCCGACCGAATCTGGTCACGTCGGCCAATTTCATTGAGACTAGCCAATTGCAGGAGATATTATACTACACAAGTGTGTGAGGGAGAGCGAACACACAACATGCACTCTCTATTTCACTCTCAAATTTCGATGAGTCATGAGACGATAATTCTACACAGAATCAGAATATATTAACAGAAAGATTTAATAATAAAGCTTGAACGATCCTGGACTCGAACCTAAATGCTAACCACTAGATCATGGAGGCAGTTATCATTTTTATTTATTTAAATAAAGGGGAAAATAAAGTTTTTTTTATTTAATTAAATGTGAGTTTAAAATAGAAATAATAAATAAACATCATTTCATTAAAATAAAAAAGAAATTAGATGACTTACAGCAGTGTTAACAAAAAACTCCAAGCCAGACCATAGGCAATCTAAATTTTTTATTTCCTCTGCATCTGTTGTTTCACAGCATTTCAATAATGTTAACGAATATGCTCCCATTGCAGTCAATGTTGCTAGTGTATTCTCAGAAACTACACTATCGTCAGTGTTGCCAGATTCCATACATAAATTACTATTATTACTAAAATCAATATTTTTAAAGGAATCTAACATTGTATTATTTAATTTTTCTTGTAAATTAGCTAAAATTGATCGATATGCACTTGTCGTAATTGCTTTCTTTTCTTTAGCAATAATTGGCAAAATTATACAACTTATTCGAAACACGCTATCAGCGAAATAATCTATACTCGATATTTCACCTTTTTTCTTATGATTTTTTAACAGAATATCAACAATATGTTTAACGATTTCTGCATCTGTTTTCACTTTTTTCACACCAGATTCCAAAATATTTTTAATTATTAACATGTTGTTCGAAGTTTTGTTGCTTAATGTCAGTAATTCAAGCATTATCTTATTTTTAAAATCAAATATATAACTGACTGGAAACATTTTGTACAAATCCGGATATTTTGGACTTAATTCATAAATGCTTTGTAATACATAATCGATGTTTTTACGAAGTTTTTTCGACTGGCAACACTTTTTCAAAATCAATAATACGAAAATAGCTGTCAATTGAGAATTTTCATCTAGATAGTAAATTTGTAAATGTTTTAATATTTCCACGTTATTTATAGCTTCATCTTGATTTTGTAATTGTATCGAGTTGAAAAAATCTTTTAAATCAATCTCTTTGATAAAAGAACATATTTCAAAATTATTTTTATTCAATGCTTTTGTAAGAGTCGTTGTATTTTCCATACATTCACTTATATTTTTTGCAATTTTCAAAGTTAGAGATTGTAATAATTCTTTATTATTAATAATAGCTTCGTTTTGAAATATCTCGATGTTTGAATCATTTTGGTAAGACTTTACAAGTGTCTTTGAAAGTAATTTCAACTGGGTTTTGTCTAAATTGACAAAAAGATTTTTAGTATAGTAAGTATTTTTCAACAATATTTGTGGGTAGTTCGATATTTGTTTGAGTAAATTCGTTTTTATTTCTGAGTTACTTTCTGTCTGTAATAATTCGGCAGCCATTAATTTTGTAAGCATAAGTTGGTCCTGAAAATGTTAAATGCTTAATTTAATAATTATTATTGGTTGAAAATTTAAATTTAAGGAATGCAAATCTTTAAATATCTCATAAAATAGAATTTTATTATAAAAAACATTGGAGGTTCAAAAAATCCGTAGAAAAGTTTTTGTTTCAATGATTTCCTTAAAAAAAATGATTTGTCTTCTTTATTTTCCAACCTGGTCTATAAAGAATACTTAAAAAATACATACATCTATACATATAATAAAAGTGTAACAGATTGCTGTCCGTACATGAAAGACATTTGAGAAAACCTATTATTGGGTGTCTTTACTAACGTAATAGAATCCAAAACAATGATTTTCAGAATTTTTGCCAGTTTGTCTGAGCGTTTGTGTGCGCTAATTTCTGAAACCGTAGTCCGATATGTACATATTGATAATACTTGTATTATCATAAGCATATTGTGTTTGTTAGTAATAGCTTGTGTAATAATAATAATAATGAACACTTTATTGCACACCACACAAGAAATAAATAAAGAAGTGAAATATATAACAAAACAAGATGCACAGCAGGCGGCCTTATCGTTAGAAGCGATCTTTTTCAGGCAACCTTAACCTCTTGTGTAATATTTGTCTGCATACAAATGTATGTATTTATTAAATTTGATAAAAATATTGGAATGGATTTAAAGAAAAATGATAAATATAGTTATCTTACCCAAATCAAGTTTGCCTCATCATCAAAATTAGAAATAAGTTCGATCCATTCACTTTTGCTCAAAAACGGCAGCAAGTCATTTCCCTTCACATTCATCTTGGTGTTGCTATATTTTATATTTAAAAGTTTTAAATGTGCCACACTTAGACAAAGTTTTAAGAATGCTTCGACAAGAGATGGATTCTGAAATAAAGAAAGAAATAATAAGTATATTGTTAAAAAATATGTTCAACTTCTATGTATGTATGAACATAGAGTCAGATATATGTACATACATACAGGACAAACATACAACTCTCCTTTGGGCTTCGCCACAGTCGGGCCATATGTTAAGTTGCAGAAAAAATGTAGTAAAAATTAATTATTATTTCAATGAAATTACAACAAAGTGTTTAGTGAAACTGGTCTAATATGGGCTGTGGATTTGATTCTAGCATTAACTAACCTAGACTGGGATAATACTTTCTTAGGTTTACGCGAATATTTGACATTTTAAATAAAACTATCTTTGCGGATTTTTTCGCGGACTTAATTTGATTTTTGTTTCCCGACGTTTCGAAGGCTTTACAGCAATCATGGCCACGGGAGAGATTGGCATATTATATTAAAGCTTAAAACTTACATAATTTAATTTCAAAATACAATCTCCAAATTTGTTCAGGCATTGGTCTTCAAAATCTTGAAATGCTGACCAAAAATCTTCTGCAATTGGTAATGGCACTGTGTGGTCTGCCATTTTGTTGTGTTGAAGGAAACTTGACAAAATGGCCGATAGCATTTCCGCTAGTGTTATAATTGAAGGACCTGGAATAACATCATAATTTATAATAAAGCAGTAATAAACTTATTAGCCGACTTATCCTCACTTCGCTCAGGTTCGTCCCTAGATATGTTTTAACGGTTAGTATGGAATAGATATTTTACCACCATACCTATGTATATATATTTTTATACACAGGTATGTTGAGTTGTTGTGGGTTGTATTTATTATTACATATTTTCCAGTGGGAATGAGACAATCTCCCGCGGTAAAAAGTAGCGCATATCACTCTCCAGCCCTTCTACTATCTCCACACAAAATCACGTCATTCCGTCGCTCGTTTCGAGGTGAAAGAAGGATAAACAAACAAACAGATCTTCACATTTATAATATTATGGATATATAGTATGAATTAATTTTAATGTATTAAACTAAACATTAATACTTTTAATCTATGCTGTAAATTTAAATAAAATTGTAAAAAAATATTAATTTATAAACATAATAGTACATATTAATTAAAAAACAAATATTCATTTAATGAAACTTTTAAGTTTGCAATTTTAGATGTCTAAACTTGTTGAATGTTCAAGGCAACAATTTGTAAACATTGTGCCATGCTTTAATGCAAGTTTAAAGGTTTTCATTTCATGTATAAACTAAACGTAATATTTATTTGTCGGTGAGTTAAAGGCTAGTTTTTTACATAATACTGCTAGATTAAGAAACAATTTCATATTGGTTCAATATAAAGTATTTTTTTACACAAAGGCCATTTTAATTTATATAATTTTGATATACCCAGTGTCTTTCTCACAATTAAGACGTATCTAATGACACCTCTCAAGCTAAAATCCATCAAGCCGTTTATGCTACAGAGTGTGCCAAAGAAATATACATACATACATATACTTGAAAAACATAACCCTGCTACTTGCGTAAAAAGTGTTTAAATAAAACAATATAATTAGATACATACTAACAAATCCTTCTTCAAGCATCATTAGGCAGTTAGCTTCAAAATCTTTTTGTAACACCAACAAAAGCTCTTTATTTTGCCTAAACATTAATTCTGATGTCAATTTACCATACATTTTTGCACATTCATAGGGAAATATATCATTACCAGTCAAAATTTTTACCTTCAATTTTTCACAGTTTTCATTATTTTTCAACCCATCAATGAATTTCTGTTTCAATTCAAACTGCTCTACATTAGAAGCTTCTAAGTTCAATTTTAAATCTGGTACTAATTGATTAATGAAATTTATTCCTCGACTCAATTTGAATAAGGTGTTAATTAAAGAATTCATAGTTTCAATATATATTTGGAGTATATCTGCATTATTCTTTTTTGCAGTCATAATATACGGTAAAATTTTATTCATTTTTGGTTCAATCAAACTTGGATCAAGAGTTATAGCTGTTTTAACAATTAATAGTGTTGTTTTGTCGAGCTTTCCTTCTAATTTTAATATGCCCATCATTACAACTTGTAAGAATATCATAAAAGTTTTCTTCACTTCTACGTTTGAAATCTTTTCAGCTACCGTATCTGTTAATCTTATACTTATATCGACTTCATTTAAGAGTAATGTTGTGAGCATATCTAAAAATAGTCCACGTTTTATCTTTTCGTCATTTTCTTCAAAAATTATGGGTGGCATTTTCATACTCGGTATCATATAATTCTGTTGCATTTTTAATGCATTTGTCACCATAATATAAAATGCGAATAAAATTTGACTCTCACTTTTATAGCAATTCACAAATATACTAATGAAGTCTGATAAAAATTTCTGATCCTTCCCTGTTCGACCCTTTGGAAATGTAAAAAATGCACTCATAATTTTTAAAACTGATTGTATATTATCCCCCCTCTCAGCTATTAATTCATCAATATTGTCTTTTCTAATTAAATTGAATAGAAAACTTGAGTAAAATTGCTTTTTAGTCATTGGAAATAAAATGTTTTGACATAAACTAATAACTATGCTATGGCAATTTGTGTTAAGATAGCTAAATATAGTTTCTAAATTTTCTCCATCTAAGAATTTTACTATAAATTCCAGTTTCTTCTTGGATTCCTTATAAAATTTTGTCAGGTTTTTGAATATCATTTGGCATTTTTCGTCATTGCCAGTTTCACTGTGCAAATTTTGTAGTAAGGTAGTAATAATAAACAAATATTCATCGATTTGAAGATGGAGTTGAACTGACATTTTGTCATTTTCTAAAAATGATATAATGTATGAAGTATCATCGTTTTGTAGTGAATTATTGTGAAGATATTGTGATATTATCTGAAATACGAAAATAATCCATATTAATTAATAATATTATAATGTGAAAGTTTCTGTGTATGGAGGTGATTTTATTACTCTTTCACACCAGAACGGCTGAAAGGATCTGAATAAAATTTGGCACAGAGATAGATTATAGTCTGGAATAACAAATAGGCTACTCTTTATCCTGGAATAATGTACGATTCCTGTGGGATAGGTTTGTTTTTGTTGTCTTAGAGGCGAATCCGAGTGATGTGAGGGTGAGCCGCCAGTAAAATATATTTTATAATCAAAACTTTTTAGAAATTACCACATAACTTATTCAACTCACCCTTATAAGTTTAGATTTTAATTCACTGGTTAAATCATTCACATTATTTAACCATCCAATTACATCTTTTAATTCTTTACTCGTAAGTTTATTTCCTTTGACTAATTCATCAAGCCATTCTCCAATAACTCTTTCTTTTGGTGCAGTAGGGAAATGATGAGACTGGACAACATTCTTAGCTAGTTTTATGCGTTTCGGTAATGATATGGCGTCATCGTGTAGCCTTCGTTTTAATTCTGTAATTGCATACAATAGAATATTATTTTCATAATAAATCTATACATATAATAAAATTCTGAGTCAAATCTGTACATTAAATATTTTTGGAAAATCTTATTGAAATAGTCATTATCGATACAGAGGCCAAATCTATAGTTTTTAAATTTTTGTTTGTCTGCTGTCTGGGAACGCATCACGAGAAAACCAATTTTAATGAAATTTGGTATAATGATAGCCGGTTATCCCGGTCAACATAAACGAATTAGGATACTTTTTAATGCGGGAAAGTATCTCATCTCTGAGAAACCCATACTAAACGATAAAACGTAAGGGACGAACTCGAGCAGAGCGAGGGTGAGTCACTAGTCATTTTTCAGTTCGTAATTATAGTTGAAACTCCACTGCCAAGAATCGATTAAGTATTAGTCATTTATGATTTAAATAATTTGGTTATAAGGTATTCTGGGTACAAAATAACCTTAAATTAATTTATGTTTAGGACCATACACGCTAAAAACAATGTAAGAATATACGTTATAGGTTATAAAATATATTGTTGATGTTGCTACTTACCGTTAAGTGGATACTGGGACATTTTGTTTAAAATTAATTTTAGTAATTATATAAATATTAATTTGAAAAGTATCAAATAAGTAATTAGTAACTTTATTAATAATTAAAAATAGGTACACATGTCGGAGTTGCCGTCTTGTTATTGTTTTGACGTATATTGGGGATTGGGGTGTTGGTGTTGCTATTTCATAAATGATTAAATTTACAGATAAATAATATAAGTCGCAAGCCGAAATCTTACAAATTTACCTATTCGATCAACAATACTACTAGATATCGTGTCGGCGTAAGAAATCCGTCTCGGTAAATATAAGGTCACTTGCAAAGTGAGCATATATTTCAATTATGTAGTTCAACTAACACTGCCAACAAAAACACGTTCATAATACCGCAATATGTATTTAAAAGTTGCAAAAAAGATCGAAGAACAACTTTTGCAGACAGAGTCTTATTTTCGGTAAATACATGTAGATTATGTTAATATTGTAAGATTTAACCTACGAAATAATATAAAAATGATTTTTTTTACAATTTTAAATCCGCTAAGAACGTTGGACCAGGTCAGCCAATACAAGCGAAAATTCAAAGAAGTAAAACAGAAGCAATACATAATAATTTAGCTCGCAAAGCAACAACGGGAAAAAGTGCTTTATGTGCTTTTAATAAAAGGTTGATTTAAGATTTTACAATAAAGATTATAAAACTTTCTGAAATGATCATGTGTGATGATAATTTGAAGATTTGTGACTTTTATTTCAACATATGGTTTAACAGATTTCATCAAAATCGGTTCGTTTTTTATGATATGAAAAGGTGTAACTAAAACTGAAACAGTTTTTGTAATAATTACTTATAACAAAAACTATTTTAGTTTTTACTTAAAACTAAAAAGGTAATTCTAAAAAACTTTACGAAATAAAAAAGTAATTAAACAAAATGAAAATTTCCAGGCACTAGAAAGTAAAAAAAATACTGAACGGGGTTTTTCATTTACTATAGATACCGAAAACTAATCACATATTATAGAAGTCTGATTGATCGATCTGATTGTGATTGTTAAATTATTTTAATAAATAAATAAATGTCGTACATTATTTCTAAATATTACTTTTACCCAACCGCGCGACGCAAAAGATGGTAATGTGTTTATCAGTCTATGTATGTATGAATGTGTGTTCCTATGTTGCGTTCTAGAGACCAAACGCTAGGCCTTTGAGGTTTTAACCGATAGATCGACGGTTCGCTCTACGGATCCATCGATCGATACACACATCATCGATCGGTACATGCTCATATACGATATTATTTTTTATGTTGTTAAATACAATACAATAGTTTTTGTCTCCAAATAGACCTTACGATATAGACCGTATAGTTGCGGTTTATGTAACACACCTACCTTCAGCTATATGTATAAATAATACCAAGTCTAATAATACTTTCTTAGATTTACGTGAATATTTGACATTTTAAATAAAACTATCTTTCCCGAGTTTTTCGCGGGTTTATTTAGATTTTTGGTTCCCGACGTTTCGAATGCTTTACAATTTACATCAACCATGGTCACGGGAAAGACTAAGTTTTAGATGTTTCAAAGGCATTAATTAATTATATACATATATGTAGTTGTTACACACAGCCTACCTACAAAAAAAACAAAATGAATTCAAAAATCCGTAAGTGGCACCAAAGTACGTTACAATATTTGTTAATTTTTTTAAATTTAAAACCATATTCTAAACGATAAAAATGAAATATAATTAAACAGGGGTTTTTATTTATTATACGAGTAGTTAGGTACCTAATCAGATATTTTCGAAGTCGGTGCTAGCCGAAGCAAAGTAAAGCAAATCTATTTCAATAATATGTATAAATACATGTCAAATGGATATGGGGTTAATCTATACATATAATAAAATTGTAACTAAGCCGAATCTGTACATTAAATATTTTTTGGATAATTTTATTGAAATAAACATTATTATCGATACAGAGGCCGAATCTATAGTTATTACAATTTTTGTCTATCTGTCTGTCTATCTGTTACCGCATTACAGAAAAACCACTGTAGGGATTTTGATCAAAATTGGTATGGTGATAGCTGGTTATCCGGGTCAACATATAAGATTCTTTTTACCGCGGGAAAATATCTTATTTCTGAGAAAAAATACAAAAACTGTAATGTAAAAGTATACTAATATGTAAAACCTAAGAATTTGGTTTTTGGTCATCTGAACGCGGGCGGAGCCGCGGGCAATGCTAGTATAACTATAATTAAGTAACTTATTAAAAACTTTCCTCACAGAAAGAAAAAACAATAATATTGTCTACGTATATTCAGTACTCGAGGTAATAATGAAGTCGTTGACTGTATAAAACAACTACAAGTTACAACTATAGTTGCCAAAAAATTATACAACTGTAGTATTCGAAACAATTCGTCGATCTAAGCAAAATGTTTTATGAAGGCAAAAATAAAATTTAATTATAAGGTCTTTTCACTAAATTATTATCTAGGTATACTAATATTATAAAGTACATAACTCACACACACACGCGCGCACACATACACATACACACACACACTTACACATTACACTTATACACATATCATTAAAATCATTGTTAATATTTTTAATTATCCTTAATAGTATTAATTAATAATGCATGCTACTTTACTCATACACTGTGAACTATGTTAGTGTTAATTATACATATTTTGTTCAACATGGAAGGCAAGACGCTCGTAACACAAGTTCACTTAGTACGAGTGTCTTAGATTTGTATAAATGACTGAGCCCGGCTGCTGAATTTCATCATCGGACATCGCGCCAAAATATTAAATTCCATCCACACCACCTTGATGTCCAGCGTTCCACAACAGTGCGATTTTTAAGGTATTTTCTGCCCCGCACAACCACTCTGTTGAACCAGCTATCGCCGGCGGTCTTTCCGAACCGCTACGACCTGGCCACCTTCAAAAAGAGAGCGTATTTTTTCCTGAAAGGCCGGCAACACATCTGCAAGCCCTGCGGTGTTGCAGATGTTCATGGGCGGCGGTGATTACTCTCCATCAGGTGAGCCTCCTGCCCGTTTTCCCCCTTAGTCCCATAAAAAAAGGTAAAGTTTGTGAGCTTGTGACGTCGCGTTGTAGAGGGTAATCTCTGGATCTACAGAACCGATTTAGATGAAATTTGGTAAGAAGATAGTTTGAGACCCTGGGAAGAACATAGGATACTTTTTGTCCCGGTATAACCATCATCCCTGAAAAATGAAAATGGGGATATAATAATAATATATTTATTGTACTATATAATGTGACAATATAAGGGGTTAAAGTAATAAAAACCAGTTGTATACAACGGGTCAAAAAATAAGTTGAACTCCTAAACTTAGCCAGAGCCTGTATTTTAAGTGACCGACGTTCCGCTTTCACAATTGAATTTACAACTATTTATACGTCTTGCGAGTGCTCCAACAATTAACAATATCAACTATTTATCTAATCAAAAAATGTTCCTCACAAAGGATGCTGGAAATTTCATGCTCTATATTTTTTGTAATGCCCATTTATAACCTATATGACTCTAGAGAGAAGATATTCTCGAAAAACTGGTTTTTGATACCATTTTTCCAATAGCGCGAGGGTCGCAAATTTGGATTAGTAATGACACCAAAATGTAATATTTGGCCAAATTATTAGAATGCTCCTTGACCTTTTCTAAGTCAGACTGGAGTACAAAGCCAATATAACAAGTTTCTTGGTTGGCAGTCATAAGTTGTGTTTCTTTTGAATTCTTTTCTTAATTTCAATCATTCAAGAATTTATCATAGTATCCTACTGGGTTACATATTATGTTACTTATATATAGGTATTAACTTATATGTAATATATATTATATTATATATAAGTATATATAGGTACACTCTAACAAAAAATACTAATACGGATTAGCTGGGGAAGTTTACTAAAAGTATAAATGTTGCTGATGTATTTTGGTCAAGTTTTGGGGTCAAGGAATGTCTAATCTGATTTAAAATTGTTGAAGATTTAGATAGATTTAGGTTTTTAAAATTAACCATACGAATTATTAAAAATATACCTATAAAGGGAAAACTGAATGGGGACGCTAATCATACGTAAGCTTACTATAACATGAATATGATATGATATATATGATAATGAACGTGGGCGTACTTCAATAAATAAATGCTGCCAAGGGAAACTCACTCATAGTTTTAAAAGTTTGCGGAAACTGGTCAAGTCTTTATTAATCGGAAGTCCAAAAATAAACATTTGAATGAATAAACGACTTTCATTCATAAAACCGCCATTTTGTGATGACGATAAAATTAAATATGGCCGTCACGGTCACGAACCGACGCTATGAAGTAGGCCAAGGAGAAATTTTGCGCATGTCCAAAAGGATTGATTTTGCCTGTGACGTCACAAAATGTCCGCCACACCACCGAAACGTTCGGTATAAAAAGTTAAAAAAACAAGAATCACCCTTAGTTACGTCCAAATGGATTGCAGATATACATAATTTTTGTAACATTCACCTGTTATTTAAAATTTTCATTTAATAATTAAAAACAAATTGCTGCTAAAAAAGAGGCGGCTACGGAATGCGTCGCGTAGCGTACAACAATTTTTCCGCGATCTTAGATGCAACGATGGGCTCTCTGGCGAAGTTGGTGTGTTTATGTGAGTACTATTTTTAAAATTACTATAATAATAAATATATATATTTTTTAATTTTAATTAATTTTGTTATGAAACCTCTTTGAAATTATTTCAAAGATTTTATAAAAACAACAGTTTATGACATAAAAGAGTATGAAATTAATATTTTTTCTTATATATTATCCTGTTTATATATTTTATAATTGATTATTAATAAAAATCATAATTACAATATAATTATATGATTCTGAATTGATTGCACATTGTTTTACCATTTAGAAATGAATTAAAATTGATTATTTGATTTTAGATAAATTAATTAAATGAAAAGAAGTGAAAACTTTAGTTCATTTACAATTCAATGTGTCTAAAATCGTAGTTCGATAAGACAATGGAGTGACATGTAATGTATTCAGGCCTCCCGTCACATTTACACACATACCTACCCACATGTCGAAAGACCGGAGGGCGGATTTACTTCGAATTATCTTTTCTGAACGAGAATCACGTATTTATTAATCTGTATAATATAAAAATAAGTTATTATAAAATAAGCTAGAAATATTTTTTGGAGATAATGACTTTTTCGTATTATTTTTAATTGTTATATTTGTGTAAGCTTTTTGTTTGTTTGGTACATTTTAACCTACGAGTATGTTCGTTTTTATACCGGAAAATGAAATTATTTGATATGGAATTTATACGGACATTTTGTTTTTTTTTTTTTGTGAAAACCTACCTACTAGGTAACTAGATGATATAATAAATACAAGGTTTTGATGTAATTTGATATGGATTTTCTCAGGGCCAGAAGTAATAGCTTTTAGATACTTTATATGATGGGAACGAGTACTCATAGGTTAAAGAATGGGAGTTTGTTTTAAAATCCTTGGAATTTTTATTATAAGGTAGCAAATAATTAATAAAATTATTGAATTCGAAAATGGAGAGCCGTTTGTTATAAAAACATTAGCCATTTTTCTTCAATTCAACGGGGTACAGTCGAGGAATATTTTAGTTAAAAAACTTAAAAAAAAACTTAAAAAACTCCGACTTCTAGGAAAATGAAAAAAATAATTTAACGGGGGCGTTTTGTCAGTGTTTTGTACTTTGTCGGTGGCAGCCAAATAAAATAAAATACATATTTACCTATTAGATATTCATATCTTAAAATATTGTCGGCACCGACTTCGAAAATATCTGATTAGGTATCCATTCTAAATGAAAACCCCCGTTTAGTTATTTTTTTACGAAAGTTGTTTTTTTTAAGTTTTTTAACCAAAATATTTTTTTAACCTGGGAAGTACACCCTTTGAAACTAAAAAAAAATCCAAATCGGTTCAGGCATTTTCGAGTAATCGGTGAACATACATAAAAAAAAAGATTCCGACGAATTGAGAACCTCCTCCTTTTTGGAATTCGGTTAATAAATAATTAAGCTTTAAAAACTTAATTTATATTTATGAAGTCAATTTTTCCTCGTGTAAAATTTGGATATACTGATAGCATTTTTTATTTTGTTTCACTAATATTTTATTAACGAGAAGGCGGAATGTTTATAAGTAAACGTAACGTAGAGTTTCTTTTACAATATACGGAAGTCTTTCTCTGTTTTATTGAATAGGTACAAGCGACTTATCCTCGCTTCGGTAGGGTGCATCCTTTGATATGTTTTATATAGATAACAATAGTTATTTGATCTATACATATACTAGCGGACCCGACAGACGTTGTCCTGTCTACACGTCTTTAATTTGAAAATTTCAAACTTTTTTTAATAATTTTTTTGATGAAAATTATTATTCAAATTGTGAATCTAAACCATTCCCAGATCCCCTTGAACACACACAAAAAATTTCATCAAAATCGATCCAGTCGTTTGAGAGAAGTTCAGTGACATACACACTCACAGAAGAATTATATATATAAAGATAGTTCGATCTATGTATCGTTCTTTTTTTCCCGACTGCTTCTCTACTACTACTCAAAGTGATGTATTTTGCCTGGCCTTCGTCTATACTAATATTATAAAGAGTTAATTTGTGAATTTGTAAGTTTGTTAGTTTGTAGGGGGTAATCTTTGGATCTAGTGAACCGATTTAGATGAAATTTGGTAAGAAAATAGTTTGAGGACCCTGGGAAGGAAATAGGATACTTTTTTCCCGGAAATCATCCTTTAAGGGGGTGAAAATGGGGTGGAAAGTTTGTATGGGGAATCCACATAGGGACGAACCCGAGCGATTGAAGTTTCAAAACGTTTATATAATGACGAATCATATTATATGCCTGCAACATATATGTCAAATTAAAAAAGCTTTGTTATTATATGAGTCTTTTGGCTTCAAAGTTTGTAATCAATTTTTCAAACTTTTATTGGCATTCTATTGAGTTAAAAGACGATACCTACGAGTAATTGTATCCGAGTTTTAAACAAACACACTCGTAGCTGAGATTCTTTCTGCAGTTCTTTTCAAGGCTTCGTTATTTCTAAGATGCTGTAGAGATACGCCCAAGAATTGTAAAATCTAATTAAAGAAAATCTTATGTTTATAGCGCGAGCTCTAATCTATACATATAATAAATCTGTAGAGAGGTCAATTCTGTACATGAAATATATTTCCAAAATAACTATCAGGGGGTGATTAGGGATCGATACTGATGCCAAAAATGCAATCAGTAAATTTTTTGTCTGTCTGTCTGTCTGTCTATCTGTCTGTCTGTATAACCGTTATAGAAACAAAAACTACTCGACGGATTTTAACGAAACTTGGTACAATTATTTTTCATACTCCTGAGCTGGTTAAAGTATACTTTTCATCACGCTACAATCAATAGGAGCAGAGCAGTGAAGGGAAATGTTGGAAAAACGGAAGAAGTTACTCCATTTTATAAGCTTCCGTCGCGTGTGCTACCTTAATGGTTAAAGCTACACAGAAATCATGTATGACGGAAATGTTCCTTCCCGATAGCTTAACAGTTCGAAGTTTTCTGATTTATATTTGTCTACTCTTACGTTTATAACACTCTCAGTCACCCTAATTAAAAAAGTTAACATTATAAACTATTCCATAAAAAAGAATCATAGAAATCGGTATAGAAACACCAAAGTTATACATGATACGTTAATAATATGCCATCGCGAGTCAGGGGGATGTAAGAAGACAAATAGAACAAATCCAGATTTTTTCATTTTTTTTGTTTCTCTGTCTGTTTGTCTGTTTGTACGGGCTAATCTCCGAATCTATTGGACCAATTTAAATAAAATTTTGCATGGTGGTACCTTATATCCCCGGACAACGTCTTAGATATTTTTTATCCCGGAAAATTAAATGGTTCCCGTGGGATAGTAAAAAAACTATTATAACTTATACAACTTATGCACCTAATTTAGTAAAATTTAACATTCTGATACCTTATATTGCCGGTCAAACAACAGGTTACTTTTCATCCGGGAAAAATGAACGGTTCCCGTGGGAACTAATAGATTTCTATTAGTGTTTTTCTAAAGGCGAACCCGAGCGAAGCGAGGGTGAGCCGCTAGTCTATACATATAATAAAACTGTAGAGGTCGATTGTCAGTACAGAGAAAAAAAATGCTAAAAACCGAGTCGGGGTGATGTAAGAAGAGAAATAGAACAAATCCAGTTTTTTTTTTATTTTTTGTTTCTCTGTCTGTTTGTACGGGCTAGTCTCCGAAACTGTTGAACCGATTTAAATGAAATTTTGCATGGTGGTACCTTATATCCCTTATGTCATTTTAGATAATTTTCATCCCGGAAAATTAAAGAGTTCCCGTGGGTTAGATTTGTTTTTAGCCGCTAGTAATCAATAAAACAGAAAAAGACTTCCGTATATTGTAAAACAAACTACGTTACGTTTACTCATAAAGAAAGCGGATTTAACAACAAATTGTAATTTCCTTTTCCGCCTTCCCGTAAATAAAATATTAGTCAAACTAAATAAAAAATGCTATCAATATATCCAAATTTTACGCGAGGAAAAATTGACTTTATAAATTTAAATTAAATTTATAAAGCTTAATTATTTATTAACTAGCATATTCCATATTGCTATTGTTTTTTATAACAAATGGCTCGACGAAGCGAGGGTGAGTCGCTAGTACTTCCAATGTACATTAGGATTACTAAATTACTAAAAACCTCAAGAGATCAGATTTGAGATAAAAGTTGGAGCGCTTTCAATTTGTTTTAAAACGACCGTCCCTTGTGTGCTTCAGAGAATTTATTTCGAAGGTCGAAGAAATACGTGTAGGAATAGATAGTTTTGAAATTAGTTTTCTTTCTGGCATGTGCTTTTTCAATTATGATTTTACTGTGAAGATCTAAATCTTTGAACGTTTATTTACTCGAATTTTAGGCGGAGAGATCTGAATGTGGAGTGAATACCTATAATTTGATTGCAATTAATATTTTTCGTTAATGAAAGATATAAATCTACTATAGTTTATTTCGTCCAACTGTTTAATAATTATTTTTTAATATTATAAATGTGAAAGTTTAGATAGATGTTTGGATATTTGTTACTTAATCACGCCAGAACGGCTTAACGGATCTGGATGAAAGGCACAGAGATAGATAGAGATAGTCTGGAATAGCACATAGACTTCTTTTTATTCCGGAAAAATCTAGAGTTCCCGTGGGAAAGATTTGCTTCTGATTTTCTAGATGCGAACCTGAGCGAAGCGAGGGTGAGTTTTAAATATGTTTTATTTAATTTTGATTTTTTTGTTTCCAATGTTTTGAATGCTGAATGTTTTTAAAATTGTTAGGTTAGGTTTTTTATTTCGGTGTCATTTCACTTATTTTACAATTGTTGTGGGTAGACACCGTTTCTAATAACTATGACTTTTGGGACGTTTTAAACGTTAGTCTCTCCCGTGACCACGTTTGCATTCAGTTAATTTAATATATAGCGTTCAACATCTAAACAAAATCATTAAAATATTTGAAAAAATAGTTGCATTAAAAATGAAGTAGCAATTTTAAATAATTTAACTTTTT